TAACATGACATACATAGAAAACTAATCTTTAAAAACTCAGTAAATAGAAAAGTTAAAATGTGTGTGTGTGTAAGTCGATGTCTGTGTGGGCAAGTCCATGTGTGTGTGTGTCCATATGTGTATGCGTGGAGGTCGATGTGTTTGTGGGTCGATGTCTGTCTCTGTGTGTGTGTAAGTCGATGTGTGTGTCTTTTTTGCCCAGACAACGCTGGGTACTTCCCGCTAGTTTTGTTATAAATATATGGGCGATTGTTATGTTATTGAATGATGATAGCGCGCGTGATTTCTTGCATTACACCAACTTGAAACCTGGAAACTTTCTAACCCCAAATTACACTTATGTTAAATGTTGCCGTTTTAATATTTTAGCATATTCTGGGCCAGGCTGTGTAATCCCGTTAGTGTAGCATTAGCCATATCTCTCCTTAAGTTACTTTTCCATTTATCTCTTTATTTAAATCTCCCTCTCTCTATCTCTCAGTTTCACGTTGTTTCTTTTTCCATTTGTTAAATCCCCCTTATCTCTTTAATCTCTGTTCCTCTCTCTCTCTCTCCCCCCATCTCCCTTTCCAGTGCCCCCCTCCCTCCCTGGCTGCCTCTCCCCCCCATTCCCTGATTCCTTTTTTGCAACGGGGCACAATGATCACACCCCCCTCCCCCCCCCCCCTCTGGGGGAAACACTGGCAGATAGGATCTGCGTGAAGGAAGTGTGGAGCTGCCTGCTGGGTGGTGAAGAGTCGTCGTAAATACGGCACCACCGGCACCACCCCCAAACAACCCCCAACCAACCGCCGAGGCCCTGACAATGCCACGTTAGGACCCCCCACATCCAAAGCAGCCCTTTCCCAGAGCAGACAGGGATGGGGCAAGGCACAGGGGGATAGACTCCGTGTTTTATGGTTCTTCCCATGGTGTGATTATACATAATAATTCACATTTGTTGATACAAATGTTTGGTTTGATGTAAGTTAGTTGAGTACAGAACTCCCCTTATCCGTGATCACATTACCCACAAAAAATTAGTTTGTCCAAGTCAACTTTAGTAAGAGGAAATTTTTTTATTTAATAGTGAGTTATTATTTATGCGCAGCGCGTTATATTTCTGCCGTGATGTGGTGGTTGCGCTTGCTCTAATTTCTATTCGCTTCATTGGAGTACGGAACTTTGTTTCGTTGCTTCTTCCCATTTTCGTGACCCAGGTCACTCGCAAGTGAGTCGATCCTCTGGTATATTTGAGTTCGCAACCGGTTAAATAAACTCGACTACTATTGGTTTAACACGCAGAAGGCTTTGGCGACAAATATTATCCATAATGTGTTTTTTTGTGTGGGTTAGATCGCATAAATGTGAATGTGTCGTCAAACCCGCCACCACCCGACACAGCCAATTAGTAAGGTTTGTCACGTGAGTCTTTGACCATAGCTTTCCCTCTAGGTCGACTCGGCCTCAAATACTTTGCATTCATAAATAGCCGAGCTACAGCTGATTGGTTGGAGGATTTGTATCTTTAAACGATATTCTTTGCTGATTACAAGCATGCCTTTCACAAGCTGTACCTTAGTTACTTAGGGGATGGCTGAAATCTGTTTGGGTATTCTTCTATTGTCCACGGATAACTCTATCGGCCCTTGCTATTGTGGATAGGAGTTGTGCATTTCAAAATCTGCTTTGTAGATCAAAGGACTTTTTTTTTATCTCGGGCAAACACATACACGCGCGCGCGCACACACACACTGGTCCAGAGTAAAACAAACGGCCTGCCATTCACCGCACGTGGAAGATAACGAGAGTGATAAGAACAGAGATATGTCAATGAGCCCTGATTGAGGTCTAAATGTGGATTATTTTGTGATCTTTTTTTTGGCAATGATCGAAAATTTAAGTTTCTGTATTCTATTGTTTAAATTGACACATGGGTTGCCGTAGATTTTGGAGATCTCCGCCACAACAAAATGTAATTGTCAGGATGTTGAATGGTTCACGGGAGATTTTAACGTGAAGCTTTATTACCAAATAAAAAAAAACGATCAAGAGTTGTCTTGCTTGATGTTTTGACACGAGGATTGTTGAGCAGCAAGGAGTTAGTTTATATTGGCAGTCCTGACTGAGTGGTATAAAATTCCACATTTTCCATGCCAATGCCTAGTTTGTCTGGAGAACAAGCCTCTGAAGGAACATTTGCTGATGTCAAAGCCCAAAACACCAAAAAAATACTTTACAAGTAGACAATTGTAGAACATTAATATTTGCGCCCGCATCACTGCCATTGGGGATTATACTGAGAAAATATCTGCCATAGGATGGTGGAGTTTACAACACTGGGTTATGAGTGTAAAGTTAGAGTTGACTGCTGACTTTGGCTGAAAAAACGTTAGTGAGATGGTGCCCCATTGAGGTCATGAAATAAATTTTGATTTAAAGCTTTCGTGACTGCAGTAATTCATATTCTTAGTTTTTTCGGTAAAGTCACGTTGAAGAGAAACAACAAAATAACAAAATATATATAAAACAATAAAAAATTCTCACGACGTTTCGACCATAACTCAAACGGTCATCATCATATTTATTAATTATATCACTGGTGTATATTTTTTTATTTTACATTTTCCGTAAAAAAAAACATGTTGCGTGGACTTTTAACGATCTAATATTTCCAGTGTAAGATTTTGGAAACACTGACATACAAAGTACATTTAGTCATTATGCTCCTCTGAGCTTATAATTTCACACTTATGAATATATGAAAGCACATAAATGCCCGATACTGTATTTATTATGTATAATATAACATATAATGGATTTGTACGTCTATAAATGATTTAAGTTTACCATACAATTAACACATTTGTATATCATGGATATAGAACACACGTGGTTTGTGTGGCTAACAAACCAGGATGTATAATTCACACATTCGTGCTTGCCTAACGCTATAAGAAGCGGAAGATAGTAATAATATTTGTCATGACACTGCTAGACGGAGGAGGCCTCCCTACGATTTACTGGTGGTGGAGTTTGTTTTTTACTTCACCATAATGGTCAGTGCGCGTTGGTGCACAGGACCACTTCATACATCAATTGCCACCTAATATTAGGCGTACCGTAGCATCCAATCACAACGCTGTGTTCTTTTCGCTCTTGTTCTTGTGTCGGCGTTAAATAGACGAGTGGCTACCGCAACTACAGCTGCTCATCGTAACTGTTCACGTGCTCAACGACACAATGCAGATGTACAATATTCAGAAGGAACCCCCACCCCCCCTCCGCTATCTTTAACACGATGCACCCGCCCCAAATCGCTTGCAAACACAACGCGTGGACGTGAAGCACATCGTTCTTCCCATAAATGTATCACGCCCGTGGTGCCCGGCAACAACGCTTGTCTCATTCGAGGGCCTTAATTCACTCAATAGACTTTATCTCCCCTTTTGTCAGGAGGGCATTAATTCACTCAATGAGCTGTATCTCCACCCTTGTATTGGCTCAGTCTGCCTCTTCCTCGACCCCCACAAGTGCCACTTTCCCCTATCTCTCCCCTCCCAGCACATTTGACTCAAACCGTGAATGCTGCTGCACTGCCAGTTCCGGCAATTTCCACCCTAAGCACCTCTCTCTCCAAGTGCCGGAAGGGCTGTGGGTGGGTCATGTTGTTATCCTTGTGGGGCAACTTTTATAGGGCAGCTGTGGAGACGGCGCGTGTGGGTGTTCCCGTGTGCGTGTGTGTGCGCGTTTAGCCCGGGAGCAGTGCCGCAATGGTTTAGCGCACTGCACTACGAACCCGTCGACCCGAGTTCGATTCCCGCTCATGGCCAACACCGGTGACGATTATCTGAATCTGTCCTGGGCCTCCCCTAGCTTTCGAGTATTTGGCTGCTCTAAATGTCCACACGATAAGCCACTTCACTGAGCTATCATTTGTGGCCAGGTTGCTTCTGAAAAAGAGCTATATAGCTCAGTGGGCCTTACCTGGTGAAATAAAACATAGTTTAGTTTTAGATTAGACTCAGCCTCTGATGAGTACCTGGTGCGGTGTGCAAACATCGCTACCGAGGAGACAAAGGCGGCCGGGCGCGGTGCTGGCCACCCACTCTGTCGTGTGGCGTGCCGACCTTTATAGGCGGCTCTGCTACTCGCTAACAGCACTTGCCCCAAAAGTCTGTTCGGGTGGCGATGCAGTGGCTATCGCGTTGTTCTATGAACCTGGTGACACGAGTTCAATACCCGGCTGTGGCTAACATCCAATTTCGTGCGATATCTCAACAGGTCTTTCCAGCCCCCCTCCCTTCCTTTCAACAAACCCACACTGACCAGCGTGGTGAAGTATGGCCAAACAACCCCCCAGCAGCGATTTGACAACGGCTGAAAATTTCTATATGTTTTTATTATAACTCATTATATTTAGTTGCTATATAATTCAGTCTGTAGATGTACTGATAGTAGATGTACTGATAGTTGAAGGGCTTGCGAATTTATTTGCCGTGTGTGTGTGTGTTTTTTAAGGCGATTGTTTTTTTTTTGGGTTTGACAAGGATGATGATTCAGGAGATATCACATGATACCGGTTGGTTTCTGTGCATGCCCTAGGCAGGGTGAAAGCAGGTAAAGCAATCGGTGCTCAGCACTGAGCGTGTGGGTGGGTGTGTACCCGTGTGAGTGTGGGGAGCGGTAGTGTCGTGGTTAGCGCGCTGCTCTACGAACCCGGCAGCCCGAGGTTCGATTCCCGTTCGCGGCCAACACCAACGACGATTATCTGACCCGGTCCCGGGCCTCCCCTAGGTCGACTCAGCCTCAAATGGGTCCCTGGTGCAGTGTGTGAACATCGTCACTGGGGAGACAAAGGTGGCTGGGCGTGGCGTTGGTCGCGCACGCACATGCACGACTTTGTAGTGCATCGTTCTGGCTTTCTCAACAGTATAATTTAGGCTATTACAGATATATATATAATATTTGTCTTTGTACCTGGCTGTGTGTGTGCGTGTGGGCGCGTGTTGCTTGAGTTCAGGTGTAGCAGAGAACCGGTCTGCACCCACCCGTCCACACTTCTCCGGCTCTCTTAAACCAATAATGAAGAGCCGAATGCCCGTGACCACATCAGAGGAGAAGCTGGCTCGCACTGCGTATTCCTTGACGCCACCGACACGCGATTGCAAAACGAGTGCTTTGGGTGCAATGTCATTATCCTACGTAAAAAAATTATATAGACGACATTTTTTTATTAAATATTAACAGCCACCCTTTTTTTATTCACGTGCATTTTTTCACCTTTAAGTAAATGAATCGAACGATCGTTCTTGGATTGTGTATGACCAGGACTTAACTCCTGAATGAATATTTTATACATTGCTGGTGAACTGGAGTTCACTAATTTGCACGAATGTTCAACTTCTTTCGCACCGTACGTAGTCAACCGTGCTTATCGTATGCGCTGGGGAAGGACAACAGACTCGACACAAAAAAGCTTGTATTGAAAAGCAGAGAAGTCAAAGGGACAATGCACATCCCACAGTTGAAGGAAGTGCTGTTGGCGAACGCCTATTAAGGTCGACATGGCGCTGTAATAGAGCAATAAAATCGCACACCTGGTCATTCTTGATCGTTAATCGAGATTAATTGTATAGATTCCGCTCAGTCGATCTATAAATACACAAACAGCAACATTAACGGGGTTAAGCATAATGTGTGTGTCGGTTAAAATGTTTGTGTCGGTTCAATTTCCAAATCGATCCGCGGGGTCGAGTAACGATGCGACAAGCGCCCAACCTTCATTTGATTGGCTAAAATCATCAGCAAGATCGGTGATTCCATCGCAGTCCGCTTTCATTGTGACCCCAACGGACAGTCGGATGGCGTGTTCAAGCTCCAGCTACGCCTCGCTGCCTCGCCAGCGCCAATGGTAGCCCGGTCACTTCATGTCGAGTTGACCTAGAGCAAAGCACAAGGGGCATGTTCAGTCAAAGGAGCCCCCCCCCCCCCCCCCCCCCCCCCCGATGAAGGGTATTTTGGGCCTCCTCTTCCACAGCGGCCGGTACCCACACTGTTACCCCCACCACATGCACACAGCAAATTGACAAACTCTGGCGCAACCATTTCTATTGCTGGGCGGACAGAGTTGGGTGAAATTGAAAAAAAGGCAAAACCTCATCCATTGTTACGCCCGCCGTGCCGGGAGATCGCATCGAAGCGCCTACCTCTGCCTGCGTAGTAAATCCAGCACGCTAACCGTGACGCAAGGTCAGCATGGTAGCCACAGCAGATCTCAATGTCGTGGTCGGGGATTCACTGCGATATCAACGCACGGTGTGCAATTACTTTATCGGTGCTGTGAATTGAAGTGGGTATTCAAATGAAGACCGACTTGTAATGCTTTTTTTTGTAAATGAACGAAACAATTGGAATGTTGAATCGGCACTCGCTTTCATTTTTATTAAGGCGGCAACCCTTTAAACACTTGAGGGCTGGGCAGAGCCAAACGAAATAATGGGTTCGCTCCCGCCTCTCGCCATGCCCTCAAAGCTGGTGACGAATGTTACCGCGCACGCCTCTCCGCATCCTCAGCCACTCTTTGCACGCCCCGAGCAAATTTCACAGCAAACCACACCAAGGGAAGCCCTGCGCTCAAGCCACAAGGCCTGCGCACGAACGTATGACTGTACGAGCTATTTCCCACGGAAATGCGACCACAGTCCCCACAAGCCCCCCCCACCGCCCCATCTGCCCACCCCCGCATAGAATCCTTGCGATTCCATCGCGGAGTTTTTATTTTACTAATGCTCGGATGGAGAGAGAGAGAGGAGAGAGAAAAAACACCCCCCACACAAAAAAAAACTTCTTAACACGATGCAGACGGCTCGAGACGATAATTACCGGTACTCAAAAGAAAGCGCGTGACACGGTGATGTCAAACAGACTTCATTCGAGGCGTGCGAGATTTCGGCAGGCTTGTGACCGGGGGAGAGTTTGCGCACAGGCTCGCTAATTTCTAACGGGGAATCGCCAAATGAGCAGTAGGTCACGCGATCAAGCAAAGGCAGCGGAGTTCAAGCGTGCCGTGTGGCATTTTGTCAAATTGTCTCGCTGTTGACGCCAGTTTGGAGGGAGGAAGCTAGGGCATTGCTCATTGCCTTTGCTGGAGTTCTCGAGCCAGTTGTGTAAATTCCACATTCTCTTGCCAGGGGCCAGTCTCTCCATGGAGTGAGCAGTGTTTAATTGCTGTGACGTGCCACTTTTTTTTTATAACCCGGAGGGACGATGCTTTTTATTGCGCTCGTATTTATGCCGAGCTCAACCAAACTTTGGAGTCTCCTTGCAAAGTTCTTCAATAATATTCCCGAAAGTTCAATTCCACTGGTTGTTGTTCTACTGACTGTCGTTGATCCACAAATACGAAGGAGACATCACGGCGGCCATACACACCGAGGCTTCTGACGTGGTTGTTGTGGGCTTGACCACCTGAATGTGAAATTGTAGTTGTTCCTCTGCGTCTACATCAGCCATACGAAAGGAGAAGAAGTGACTCTGAGGTGGCTAAAGCTTTCTTGATTTGCATTGCATTTCATAATCGGAATATTTTATTTAGACTGGAGGAATCCGATGAGCTATGAAGCTCTTTTTCAGATATGTTCAGTGTGGGCTGGTCAGCAGGTTACAACGGCAAACAATACAAAAACAAACGGTAGGAGTGCAAAATAGAGAAAAATCTTAGCAAGTCATAAAATAATGAATACGTAGAATTTATTAATTATTTATATACGTCCGATTTCTCAAGCTTGGGCAAGGCACCAAAAACAACAACAAAAAATCTCAGACCACACCAAGATAACACCGCACAGCAGCAGTAGTCCCTCAATACAATGGCACATTATTAACGTTGAGGTATCGATAAACGGGAGTCGTGGCTGTATCGATCACAGTTACATTAATTCCTCCGTACCCTTCTCCATTTGTGGTTCATTATCAACAGGAGGCTGCCAAGCTGGGCTGAGATACATCACGTGAGCAGTACGATATATCACGCGAGCAGTACGATACATTACGTGTGCAATATGATACATTATGTGAGCGATACGATACATCACGCGTGCAGTACGATACATCACGCGTGCAATATGATACATCACGCGAGCAATATGATACATCACGCGAGCGATACGATACATCACGCGTGCAGTACGATACATCACGTGAGCGATACGATACATTACGCGTGCAGTACGATACATCACGTGAGCGATACGATACATCACGCGTGCAGTACGATACATCACGTGAGCGATACGATACATTACGATGGCAGGGGAGCCGAACGGCACCCGAGAGTACATTCAACACGGAGATGGAACGGCAAAAATCGGCTCCAGTGCAGGTGGATCGTCACATCGGAACTACGAGAGGTTGCAACGGCAATGTAGGGAGGTGGTGATTGGGGGGGGGGGGGGGGGGGCGGTGTCTTTCATCCAGCAGTGGATCGATTATGGCAGCAGTAGCAGCTGCTGCTGCTGACGATGACATTTTAATATCGCGTGCAATAGGTGCACAAATATTCACGGCCGTTAATTTCCTGTTGCGTTTCAGAACATACCTCTGGTTTGGTCCCACCATCCCCTTACCCCCCCCACCCGTCCTGACGAACAAACAAACAAATGAACAATCGACATACCCAATTAGGGTTAATACGTTTCATTCGGTGGGGGGGAGGGGGGTTGAACATACCCACGAAGCCCAACGCACGTGCAAAGAATAAATCGCCCAAACACCGGAGTGGCCACCGGATGCAGCGAATACAAAGGGGCTTTAACATTTCTAAAAATACACCTGCATTGGCCTGCCCCACGTTCCTCAAGAGGTCTTTAGGATTTGTTTTTAGGTCCCCCAGCGTAAACGGGGGTGGGGTGGGTGGGGGGGTGGGTGGAATGAATTTTCGGGTGGTTGGTTTCGTCTAGCCGTCAGCTTGCGAGCCACCACTGTAGCCTTCTAATGGAACCGGTGGTTTAGACTGCTGCGATGCGTTGTAATGGAACCGGTGGTTTAGACTGCTGTGTGGCGTTGTAATGGAACCGGTGGTTTAAACTGCTGCGTAGCCTTCTAATGGAACCGGTGGTTTAGACTGCTGCGTGGCGTTGTAATGGAACCGGTGGTTTAGACTGCTGCGTGGCCTTGTAATGGAACCGGTGGTTTAAACTGCTGCGTAGCCTTCTAATGGAACCGGTGGTTTAGACTGCTGCGTGGCGTTGTAATGGAACCGGTGGTTTAGACTGCTGCGTGACCTTCTAATGGAACTGGTGGTATAAACTGCTGCGATGCGTTGTAATGGAACCGGTGGTTTAGACTGCTGCGTGACCTTCTAATGGAACTGGTGGTATAAACTGCTGCGATGCGTTGTAATGGAACCGGTGGTTTAGACTGCTGCGTGGCCTTCTAATGGAACCGGTGGTTTAAACTGCTGCGATGCGTTGTAATGGAACCGGTGGTTTAAACTGCTGCATGGCCTTCTAATGGAACCGGTGGTTTAGACTGCTGCGATGCGTTGTAATGGAACCGGTGGTTTAGACTGCTACGTGGCCTTCTAATGGAACCGGTGGTTTAGACTGCTGCGATGCGTTTGTAATGGAACCCGTGGTTTAGACTGCTACGTGGCCTTCTAATGGAACCGGTGGTTTAGACTGCTGCGATGCGTTGTAATGGAACCGGTGGTTTAGACTGCTACGTGGCCTTCTAATGGAACCGGTGGTTTAGACTGCTGCGATGCGTTGTAATGGAACCGGTGGTTTAGACTGCTACGTGGCCTTCTAATGGAACCGGTGGTTTAGACTGCTGCGATGCGTTGTAATGGAACCGGTGGTTTAGACTGCTACGTGGCCTTCTAATGGAACCGGTGGTTTAGACTGCTGCGATGCGTTGTAATGGAACCGGTGGTTTAGACTGCTACGTGGCCTTCTAATGGAACCGGTGGTTTAGACTGCTGCGATGCGTTGTAATGGAACCGGTGGTTTAGACTGCTACGTGGCCTTCTAATGGAACCGGTGGTTTAGACTGCTGCGATGCGTTGTAATGGAACCGGTGGTTTAGACTGCTACGTGGCCTTCTAATGGAACCGGTGGTTTAGACTGCTGCGATGCGTTGTAATGGAACCGGTGGTTTAGACTGCTACGTGGCATTCTAATGGAACCGGTGGTTTAAACTGCTGCGTGGTGTTGTAATGGAACCGGTGGTTTAGACTGCTACGTGGCATTCTAATGGAACCGGTGGCTTAAACTGCTGTGTGGCGTTGTAATGGAACCGGTGGTTTAGACTGCTGCGTGGCCTTCTAATGGAACCGGTGGTTTAGACTGCTGCGATGCGTTGTATTGGAACCGGTGGTTTAGACTGCTGCGTGGCCTTCTAATGGAACCGGTGGTTTAGACTGCTGCGATGCATTGTAATGGAACCGGTGGTTTAGACTGCTGCGTGGCCTTCTAATGGAACCGGTGGTTTAGACTGCTGCGTGGCCTTCTAATGGAACCGGTGGTTTAGACTGCTGCGTGGCCTTCTAATGGAACCGGTGGTTTAGACTGCTGCGTGGCCTTCTAATGGAACCGGTGGTTTAGACTGCTGCGTGGCCTTCTAATGGAACCGGTGGTTTAAACTGCTGCGATGCATTGTAATGGAACCGGTGGTTTAAACTGCTGCGTGGCCTTGTAATGGAACCGGTGGTTTAAACTGCTGCGATGTGTTGTAATGGAACCGGTGGTTTAGACTGCTGCGTGGCCTTGTAATGGAACCGGTGGTTTAAACTGCTGCGTGGTGTTGTAATGGAACCGGTGGTTTAGACTGCTGCGATGTGTTGTAATGGAACCGGTGGTTTAGACTGCTGCGTGGCCTTCTATTGGAACCGGTGGTTTAGACTGCTGCGTGGCGTTGTAATGTGGTTTATTTATTTTGCACTATATGTAGCCAAACCGTGCTAATTCGAGAAGCAAATTTAAGGGTAGCTTCTTGAGCAACTTTGAGGAAGCTTCTTGAGCAACCTTAAGGAAGCTCGGAGCGAAACGTCGGACGTCATTCCGGGCATCACGCGGTACAAACCAGAAAACACGTTGGGGGAAGAGCGAATCAGTTGGTTTAGTGAGCGCATTTCGTAGAGCGTTGATTAATACCAGATCACACGCGGACTTGTTGATGTTGAAAGTTACTGATGCTGTGGCACTTTTTACAAGAGCAGTCTAAGGCCCAATCCAAATATCACCTGCAAAGCAGGTTGCGTGCAACACGATTCAACTGTAATAATGGTTTGTGTTTAGTTCACTGCTCTTCCACCTGCACCTACGATTTAGAATCAACGTGCGAGTGTTTTGACCGCTGTACATTTCCACGTGATAAGCCGCTGCGTTGAGCTATCAATTGTGGCCAGGTCGCTTCTGGAAAAAATAACTACGTAGCTCAGTGGGGCCTTCCCTGGTGGTTTAGTACGGTTGGCTCTATATGTTGCGAAATAAATTCTACATACAAAAAATTGGTAGTGGTAGGGACAGGCGGACTGATGCGTGTCTACTTTGAAAACTGCCAAATACATTTCGCAAAGGGGGGTGTGACGTGGGAGTTTGCGTGCGCGTGTGAGCGCGTGTGTGCGCGCCTCGCACGTTGCAGCGTGTGTCGGCACGCGTTTTACTGGATGGGAGGAA